TGCTTTTGGTGCGTGGGTCACGGTCTATCAATGCGGCCCGGAGGAGCTCTGCTTTGGCATCCTCAAAGTCAATTGGGTCCGACAGAAACATTAGGCTAGAGTTATTGAATGGGGTCTGGTTTGAAAGTGCAGAGGCGGCGTTACATAAGATAGTTTCGTCAATAGCCTCAGGATCAAGAAAAGCCAGTAGGCGTTGCAACACAGCTGCATTGCCGGTAAGCTTTTCCAAAGCAAGCTTCCAAACCGTTCCAATTGTGTGCTGGTAATCAAACGCTGCTGGCCGTCTCTTGTGTAGTTTATCCTGGTTATTTTGGTAAAAAACAAGGAAGTCCTTCAGGCCCATCTTCTGCTGCCGGATGTAGCTGCTGATTTGGTTCAAGGCAAGGGGTAAGCCTCCTAGTGTCTTATTGAGCTCAGAAACTAATGGGGTATTGTTGGGATCGTCATAGCTAGGCCCTAGAAGGCGCTGTAAAGCTTCGGTGCCCATCCTGGTATCGAAGACATTCACATAGATACCCTGTGATGCAGGGTGTAGACTGGCATTGAAATCACGGGTTGTTATTAGGATAGACCCTACCACACCATGGGGCCAGCCATAGTCCAGAATCTCCAAGTTGTCAGCGTTATCGAATATAAGAAGCCAAGAGCATGTTGTATCTGCGAGCCAAGATTTCATCTTCGCCATGGCCCCGAACGCATCCTGAGTCTCCTGCGTTGCGGGCACCACACTGAGACGTCGCGCGACGGTCATGTAGTCTTGTGCCATTTTGACGGTACTATCGGCTGAAATCCAAAGAACTGCGTCATATTGCTCCCGTGTACGATAGGTATATTGCAATGCTGTCTGGGTTTTCCCTGCACCACCGATCCCATACAATGCCAAGGTACGTGGGCCCGATCGACCGGCTTTAGGGCTCAGGGTATCGGCGATCTGGTCCAACAAATCTTCGCGGACATAAAAGCGGTCATTTAATGTTAGAGGAACGTGAAAGCAAGGTAGCTCTGGGCTTGTGTGTTTATGGCCGGTATTCAGCGATTGGAATAACGTGATCATTTCGTTGTTCCATTTTAAGGCCGCTGTCGTAGCTGCGCGTCGAGTCTCTCGATCCACTTGTTGGGATAGCATCTGGATCCGCTTGAGGACTTGCTGAAACTCACGACTAAACTGCGGCCATGACTGCCGAATTGGGAGCACTGTAGAGGATTTCCATTAGCTTTAGTACAAGCGACTAATATAGGTCCGCTAAAGGTGAAAGGGGTACTCACAATGCTGACGCCGAATGCGAATAAAACTGATAGCACGCGCAGAAAACACCGCTAATTCAGTATACAGGTCAACCATGGCGGTCTCCAACTTTTCATCCAAAATGACATTATCCTCAAACGGATGGATTCCAGGCAACGCTGCAATCAACTCTTCGAGCATAGCCTGGACCTCGCTGAAGATCTCTTCTAAGGGCGCCAATAGCTACAATGCATTTCCCCTTAGAATGATGCCACAGTGTCGGGACAATAAATCTTACTGATAGCAGAAGACAGATTCCACCCCATAGTAGAGCACCGGTTTTGACATCAAGGGCGAACGACAAGACCAGCACAGTCATGAAGTCATTCAAGCATACCAAACTTGGACGAAATCGAGAGAGACTCGCCAGCAGAATGTTTTCATTTCGGTGAGCCTCCGCTACGCTCTTTAGTTGTGACAAAAGGATGTCGAGAGAGAAGGTCTCCAGACAGATCTCCAGGTCACTCTCATCATGTAAGCTTTCTTTAAATCGTTGCTGTACAAGGTTCCACACCCGTGGTCGTGGGACTGCCTTGAGGGAAGAGGCCCCCATTCTGAATCTGATATGCTGGATATCCCGCAAAGAAATTGAAGAAATCTAGATGAATACGCATTTGAGTCTTCAACAACTCGACTACCACGGTGTCGTGGAGAAGCATTTAGAATTAATATCCTTTCTTTTTCCATTTTCTTTTCTTTTTCTCTGCCACAGCCTTGGAATCCATAACAGCCTTCCAATGGAATGAAATGGGTATTACGTATACAATACAAGCTGATACAGTCATAAAACATGTATAGACGCCTACAGTTCTATGCCACCATTTGCTTGATCTCCTCTTCCTCGCGGGCTGGAGTATAGATTGTCATAACATAAAGCCCAGGCTCTTTGTACAGCGACCTTTCTCCATTCCAGTAAGTTTCTACTACATTTTGGAAAAAGTCAGCCATCCCACCTGTCATTGAACATCTTGTCAAGGTGGAATCGTCCACCATGAATCTCAAGGCTCCCAGCACAGATCGTTTCTCGATCTGGCCCCGAATAAGTAGTCTGCTTTTGATAGGTTAGGTTTCAGAGATCGGCTCTACGTTCATCACCTGGGTAAACACGCTGGGAGGAATCCATAACAGTATATTGGCCAAACAGAACAGAGACACCTGGTACGAAGCACATACCATATGTTGCCAAGTGGCTCCTGAGTGCACTACAATATCCAAGTTGATGTTGACGTTACACAGTATTTGCTAAGGTGACTGGGGGCTATGTCTGGCTTCAGATTCCTGCCTGGCTCGAGATTTTGCAGTATTCCTAGCCGTATGCAGTCATTTCTTTGGCCAACCTGAGCAATAACGACGGTATGGTGGTCAGAGGCTCGTGCCACATATTTTAGAGTCTTCCTGATGGAGTTAACGCAGATATTACCCACGACAGCGAATTTGTGAGAAAGCTATCCTCCCGATATCCTTTCAACAGATCCGGAGAAACAGATGATAGAGAGCTTTCAACCTCCTGGAGGTGATTTCACCACCATATTGACCTGACTCAAGTCGTAGCAGAACTCTCGTACCTGCGAGAAAAGAATGCAGCCAATTCAATGCAAAAGGAAATCATCGACGGCTAAGCTAAATCTTTCAAGACCACAGAGGTCGAGTCTTCGCAACAGTTCCACAGATAGCAGCGCACTTCTACCACAGGAAGCTCCAGGCTTCACCAAGTATCCAGGAAATGATGAGAGATCATCCAAAGCTGTTCAGAACGGTGGAGTAGTAAGCTTTCCAGTCAATATTCAAGAATAATGGAGTTCATTCAAATAGGTACATTGGACTGGATTCCGACGTAAATTCATCGCCACGCTCAGTGAATAGCAATAAGCAACTCCAGCACGGACTCATAAATTCCACAATAATCACGGGTGGAATGGATGTTGATCACCCTGATGCTATATTGGCTGTCAGAGTCTTGAACTAGCTGTCGTAAACGAACGAGTTGAGCTCCAAATCACATACATCTTTGGTGGAGATCTTGTGTTTACTCAAAGTCAGTTGGACTTATCGCCAGCTGTAGAGCTAGCTTCGTCTTTATTCTCCTTGCCGATAGTCGTAGGACAAGGCATGTGCGTGTATGGCCCTGAATATGCGATGGCAGGAAGTATACCACCACCACCAACCGAAGGGAATCCAGAACCTCCACACGCGCCTGAGCCGCCGCCGCCCGATTCTTGTGGGTTCATATTGGTATATCACCCGAGTGACAGCAACAGCCTGCGATAATACCCCGTGGTAACTGTCAGCGTGTTGCACTGTGGCTGATGTTGATCCACATACCTCGTTGATATTAGAAGACTACTATTTGCGTGTCTGTGTTGGCTTGTCTCTTTATATGGATGTATGAGCCAAACCTGAATAGTTGAGAGAGCTGCGGTCTGGCTTATGGCGCATTTATAGTTCCCAGGACAGAGCCAGCAGTCTTGCTCCGTCACAGGCTGAAACCCTCATCGGGCACTACAGAAAACAATCACTACCAGATTGAAGCAGACATACGCATATGTGCAAGGGCATTTAGTGTCCAATAAACAATCGCGTCTTGTCTATCCGGGGTAGATATGACGCACATACAAAGCAGCTGGAAAGTTCAGCAAGCCGATACGTATCAGCCTAGTCTCCTAGTGAATCCAAATAATATTCAGTTTCAGTTCATTGTCCCTGCTGAACCTCGGCTGTATCCATCTTTCATTGTCTTCCGGGGCGGGTTAGTGCCCACGGACCTCCGCCATTGAGCCACGATGAAGATGCTCAGAAAGCTGTCACGATAAACTCGCCTTGTAAGACGTTATGACCCTTGCGATACAAGCGATTACCCGTATGGTATGTAATGATACATGTATGCATTTCCGAGCTAACCGCCAGCAAGTGCCGACGATGTAGTACATGGGTTGCACAGGCGCGGGCTGTTCTCAAACAATGACAGAGATTAGTGCATTGATTTGTGGAGGATGTTTCCGTCCACTCTTATGGAGCATTGCTCACAATCATTTATGCGAAACTCGTCATATGATGCTTGTACAGAGCGTGTCAGAGAGAGCCTTACCATGTCTACTAAAAACTACCCACGGAGGCAAGGGAAAAAATATCATGATATATGCTGATTCCTATCATCTCGAATGCTTCATTGAAACTCTTCATCATACTGGCAATGTCTTGAGACACTAGTTGTTTGATGAAGCTATCTAGATACTCGTTGAAGCCTACTACATCTTCCTTATAGCCCTATGCAGCTACGCTGTTCATATAACAAAGAGACCACTGGCACGGCACAAATGGCCTAGAATAGGGCCTCGAGGTCAATGGGGCTAAATCCAGCGTACGCTCAGCTGATCGCTCAACACAAAGACAGGTTTGTATCATTGGTAAACAATGATGCACTGCGAGTCTGGTCTAATCAGAAGCTCTCCATGGATTTCCAGCAGACTTTATTGGGAGGTGGTTAGTTTGCCCCGGAATACTCGGGCAGACTGGCTTTCCTCCAAGTATGATGCAATTGCTGATCTTCACAGTGGATGTGCCACTCTACTTACCTCGTCTAGAACAATGGCGACGATCATGCCCATAGCATTTACAGATCTTTCTACAGTTAACGGCCCTATGCCAGAGTGTACAACCATCAAATGTCTGACATTGATTATCGGAGCTTGTCAATTCAGAAGCAAGCCAAAACGGGATGGAATTGCATCAGGTACTTGAACGACTAGAAGGGGCTCACGCACAGATTGAACGCGTTTCTGAAATTTGCGGGGCCTCGTCTATATCATATGGAGTCCTTCATTACGGTGATGTTATCTATGCGAAAAGCGTGGGACTGAGAGACCAAGCGCAGCGTCTGCCGGCGGATTCACAAACCATTTATCCGCTCGCGTCTGTATCAAAGGGCTTTCTAGCAGCTGCCGTGGGAGTCCTGGTCGATGAAGGCAAGCTTGATTGGCATGCCCCTATCCGCACGTATCTGCCGCAGTTCAACCCCGTTAATGATCGAGATTTGGGACAATATGCCAACGTCATTGATCTGCTGAGCCATGCTACCGGCCTAGCACAGCATGACCTGCTCCATATTGGGCCACTTGGGTCAATAATCAGCGACTCGTCCAAGCTAATTCATTTGCTGAATGCATTGCCGACATCCAACAGCCATGGGTCAAGGTTTCGCCGGTGGTGGCTCTACAACAATCATGTCTCAGCACTGGCGAGTCAAGTGCTTGAGAGTGTCTCAGAAGGAACGCCCTACCCAGAATTCCTAGAGCAACGCATCCTACATCCTTTACGCATGTTCCGGACTTCCGTCTCCATGAACAGATTTTCTTCGGACTCAAACATAGCCTTACCATATGCTCGCCTATCCGATGGTTCCTTCGCGAAACTGCCATTCCCCGAATACCTCCAAGAAACAACCCATATTCTTGCAAGTCAGGGGGTTACCAGCTGCGTCCAAGACCTACTGATCTGGGCTAAAGCGACATTGGAGCGTGAATCGTGGGAGCAGCTCCATGCTAAGGACAAGTCTGATCAGCCTTTTTCCCCAAAC